CCTTTCGCAACCCACATTCCTCTGCCATTGCATCGAATGATCTCAAACATTGTAATTATATTAGAATATTTAAATATCAGATACTTTATTCTCACCTTGCTCGCTGATCCTGCTCCAAGGGCTAAGGGTATGCCATATCTATTAGCTGCTAGAACAATCTAAGGTATCACTTGTCACAAAAATCACAAATTTAAATATAAACACAACATAGTCTATGTCCGTAGTTGATTTACAGAGAAGAGTTTTGTGCCAACCGTCTTCTAGGTGATAATTACGAAAATTGTAGTCCGCAGGCTTAAAACACTGGAAATTTGGCTTTCTTACAAAATATTAAACAAAACATTCTAAAAACTTCCATTATTTCCTTTAAACAATCCTCTTGTATTCCTTTGCCTAGGAAACGAATTTATTTGCAGTTATACTTATCTGAAATTTTATGAGGTCTCGAAAATGAAATCAGGCGATCCACCTCAGAGATGCATTCAAGAGTGCTTTACGCTCTAAATGCGCATGCCATATTATTAATTAGATATCGTCATCTGCTTGCAACAATAAGCACATTCCACGGAAGTTTGCAGTGCAGAAATTTCTATCTAACCTAAGCGTGTGTTTAGACTGCAGTTTTTGACATTTTGAAGAATATGTTTTGCATGGGAATGTTTGAGACAGAAGAATAAAATAAGCATCTCTTTATAAACCCAATTATTGGTTTTCTACGTCCATGTGCTGCTGGATGGTGCCAAGGAGTAGGTACAAATCATGATTACGGGAAAAACCATTGTGTTCAACGTCTGCCTTTATCATTTTTATCGATTTTGTACGAATTCCCCAATATATACTCCTAAATATGTAGGTAAAGGAAATTTGAAATGTAAAGTGGAGACGTGCTCTTCTCGAATTGAATCTCAAAATTCGAGGTAAAGTACTTTTAAATGATATGAAGACATGACTTATCTCAACATTCAAAGAGTATTTGTAACTAAGAAATAACCGAATTTGGTTACAAAGCAGCGCGTACTTAAGATGTGTCTCTTTACGAACAGTTTTCCTCTCAATGGACTTTTGATATAATTGTCTTCCTGATGCTTTTGTGAGTGGACTGCGCAATTTTGTTCGTAGATCTCTAAAACGGAGATTTGTTAATAATGCTGGCACTGAAGCAAATAGTGCAACCAAAAAGTACTTTGAGCTAGCAATTGCCATACGTACAGTGCATGCCAGCTCGTAATAGCTAGAAAGGTTGTAGTACCCCCTCACAGTCGCTAGGTGTAAATTTAGAATTTGACATGTAATCGCGCTGTAGGTTTGCAGCAAATTCACCCACATCACAAAATATCCGATATCAAATGGCTTTAATCTACTCAAAGGAATTCTGAGTGGGATTGCTTTTTAAACAAAGAGGCTGCTCACGAAGAAACTTGGACAGTTTTTCACAAGTTTAGAATTGGGAAGTGCTACGAACGATGTCCTTACCCCATTGCTCGTGGTGCTCATTGTCTACAGGCATCCAGCTATCATCACTTCTGTCCTCATCTCGTGGTGGATTTGCGATCTCCCTTTTCTCTGTAGGAACTG